CCCCCACACAAACACACACACCCCACACACCCACACAGACACACATACAGACACACACACACACACACATCCACACACCTTATTATCCCAATTCAGGTCAATAGTACCCCCCGAAATAGTCGGAGTGCGGACGCTTTTATCAGAACCTGTTTGTGAAAGATAACGGTCCCATCAACAAGTGCGCTGATTTGTCTCGCTTTTGTGGAGGGGGTGACCGAGTGGGTAGACTAGAGTTTGCCTGGTGGCTCTGGTGGTCCAGAGGTTAAGGTACTTGCCTGTCATTCTTTTTTTTTTCTTTTTGTTTTGTTTTTGGGAAGCGTTTTACGGCACTCGCAACTGCATTAGTCTAGGTCATATGAGCGCACGGGACACATTAAACATTTTCCAGTTGGTAGGACATTTTGAATTTTGTCCGGGTGGCGGCCGAAGCCTACTCTTATCGATTTTAGTTCCCCAAGGGATCTTTAACGTGCGCAACTTGCACACGGGACCTCCGAGATTTTTCGCCCATGTCCGAGAAGAGAGTAGAGGTTGCATGGGGGCTTTCGTGGTCTAGAAGTCACGGTGTTTGCCTCTTATTCAGTAGGTCTCGGGTTCGAAACCTGACAGCTACGAGAAAAGTTTTCTTCTCTAAAATGTTCTCCTATCACCTGCTGTCCTGGTCTCTAGCCATGTTCTGTCGTTTGCTTTCATATCTCCTTTTTGCCCTCTCCTCTGGGCTCCTGACTCTTTTTGCAGCCTTTCTACTGCTACTCCTTGGCTGCTTCTTACTTCTGTCTTTCAGCCACACCCCTGGTCTTATAGTAGGTAAGATCTAACACCTAGTCTTCTGGGGCAAGGGCGAAAAAATCTTGGATGTACCATCTGCAAGTTGCGCACGTTTTTAAATATCCCTTTGTGGTCCACAATCGATAAAAGTAGGCTTCGGCCGCCACCTGGACAAAATTCAGAATTATTTGCTGCCAAACTTAACGTCATGTTTAATGTGTCCCGCACACTCATATGACCTTATGCAGTTGCGAGCGCCATAAAACACTTACCAAAGAAGTTGATAATAACACACAAAAAAAGAGTTTGCTTGTGTGTTTAGAGGGTGGTCAAGTAGTTAGAGTAGAGGTCGGGTCGTCCCATGCGTCTTCACTATCTCAGTAAGGCCCTTAAATTGAAGTTGGGCATGTGGGGTGGGGTGGGGGGGTGTCTTTGTTGTTTTTTTTTACTAATCATAATCGCGAAGAAAAGATAAGTGAATTGGGCGCTAAATGTTGTTTAGGACGTGGTGTTTGTATGCGCAATAACTCAGTTCCCTACCCTAGAGTTACAAAGTGGGTGGTTAGCGGGTGCTCTAGTGTGGTTTGCTTTTTCTTTCCTATCAAACGTCTATCTTCCTGATCTCCCCTTCTTCTTTTTTATGTTTGTTACTCTCTTGTAACACCTCTAATCTTCTGGCGCTCTTATGACCTTATGCAGTTTCGAGCGCCGTAAAACTAAAACCTCTACTAAAACTACTAAGAGTTACAAAGTTCTATCTGCTTAGTACACGTACCTAGTTTTGAGAAATTTTTTGAGAACCCATGCTCAAGAACGCATCTTTAGGTATTCTAACTAGGGTACTCCGCTTTATAGCTGAGCATGATACCAACCCATGCTCAAGAACGCATCTTTAGGTATTCTAACTAGGGTACTCCGCTTTATAGCTGAGCATGATACCAACCCATGCTCAAGAACCTGCCTTATGGATTCGAACAAGGGCCATCTTCACTATAGCTCAACATGATACCAAACCATGCTCAAGAACGTGCGTTTGTAGATTCGAACTAGGGTCATCCGCTCTATAGCTGAGCATGATACCAACCCATGCTCAAGAACGCACCTTTAGGGATTCTAACTAGGGTCATCCGTTCTATAGCTCAACATTGAACATGATACCAACCCATGTTCAAGAACCTCTGTACCTCTGCACGGCACCAGCTGAACAAGTATCGCGCCCTTCTCGCTATCAGAGACAAGTCGTTTCCTCACAGCCACAAAGTTCTATCTGACATTTTTTGACCATTTTGAGTTACTACCAGACAGTTTACAACCCTGTCTGGTTACTTACTACTAAGACGATGAGGTCAGAAACCTATATATATGTTCAAGACACCAAATGTTCTATCTGCTGCTCTATCAAAATCGTAAGATTATTCGGAGTCGTTATATTATCAAGATATTGAAAGTTCTAATTGCATTAATAAATTCTTGACATGTTGGGAAACTCAACATGTTTCACGTGCAATGTCTCGAAACTAGCTGCTGAGCAGAGAGAACTCTGTACATGTAATAATAATAAT